ACCTATATACCCCATCAGCGTCTTGATGGGTCCACTTAATGCCTATCGGCGTCTCAGATAGGTCCACTTAATCCTTATCGGCGTCCTAGATAGGTCCACTTAATCCCTGTAGGTCCACTTATACCTCACCTGCGTACCGGATGAGTCCACTTAATCCTTACCGGCGTCACGGATAGGTCCAATTATACCTCACCGGCGAACCGGATGAGTCCACTTGCATACTTAAAGTATTTCTAAACCTCTTTAAACATTCGAAAGCAGCAATATCATGTACTCAACATATCACTGAAATCATTAATATGAATTTCACTGAAACCATTAATAACAGTCACTTTCAATAACATTTCAAAAATAACCAATCAAATATTTTGGGATCAAATTTAGAAAGGTAGCAGTTCGTAAAGACACTCTAGCATAATTGCCAATCTAATATGTATAGAAAAATTCTTATAGAAATTCAAGAATATGGAATCATCACAATTTATGGGATGTCAATTCGCAAATAAATATTTCACAGACAATACTATAATCAATTGCAAAAATATCAGTTTTCAAATAATAAGGTAGTCATTTGTACATGAAATTTACAATGTCTAAATATTCAAAAACAGTAGAAAGAATCTCACAATTTTAGTAAAACAGAAATATCACATTTATTTCTAATAATTTTACAGTATCTAAAATTTTCTAACAATAAACAAAAAAAATAAATAAATTTATTTCTAAGAATTTACAGCATTTAAAATTTCCAACATAGATAAAATTTCACAATTCTATTAAAAAGATTATTTTTCGAGACAATGAGGTTGCTTGCGCATAAAATTTATTGCGCCTAAAATTCGTGATAATAAGCAAAAGTAATTATTTTATTTTATTTAAAAAAAAAAAGCGAATTATTTTTCAAGATAATGAGTTCACTTACCTAAAATATTTAAAAAAAAAAGCTTCCGATAAAAATTCAGCTAGAGAGAGACCTCAAAATTTCTAAAATAAGAGCCCTCATCTCTCGTATTTAAACTCTTTTACACCTTATAGACAAGGTGTAACGTTTATATTAAACGTAAAAGCTTTAAGTCCAACGCAACCACCCACCCAGGGACGTGTTAAAGGAAGGTAGAAGGTTAATAAAAGTGGTGATGGTCCTTAAGGACCATCATACTTATATGGACCATCACCTATAAAAGTATTTTTTTTTTTTTTTTTTTTTTTGTTTTTGGGATTATTACATATATGCACTTAAATATTTACACCAAGACATGCCTAGAGTTGAATTAGTTCATCATAGAGTAGCAATCCAGTAATTCTTATGAGCAGTACGAAAACCACGTTCATAAAAAGTAGAGGATGGTCATAATAAATTTTTGGGGCCATGTGTAAACACTTTGACCAAATTGAAGCTGTTAAAAATGCAGGCATGACTGCTGCGAATATTCGATTTGTAATCCATCCCTGTAATGGGGATTGGTCTCTGCTTGTTGAGCCTTGTCCAGACTCCGGAACACATGGTTGAAAGTCGTGACGTTATTTCTCATCTTTTACTTTTATTTTCTTTCAATTTCTTCTTCATGAATTAGGTAAAGACCCATAGTTGGGATCAGGAGTTGCTTCAGGAGCAAGAGCCGGGAATCGTGAAAGGCTAGAAGATCCCTCTAGGTGGGAGCGTTGTTTATACACATGCTGGGGATCTCGATCCCAACCTCTTGGGAAAAGGAAAAATAATAAAACTTTTATAACTTGAAAATCTAATGAAATTGGCAAATCCAGAATTTAAATGCATTTGAGCCATAAAGCGAATTTACAAAACCTTGATTCCATCCGTTATCTTCTGGAAGATTCATAACCAGGATATGAGTCAAATCCAAGATTGAGCTTTCGAGGGAGTCGAATGGGCCAAATGTGTTCCATGACATGTAACATTTAACATTCTAACTATTATTTTTTATGTTTAAATTCTGTGTGCATCTTCTATCTATGGTTAGAATTCGAGCTGGGGTACTTGGGAATGCGCAGTTATCTTGGATACTCTTTATTTATCTAATTGCCTGTTTTTTTGGTGCAATCACTAGGTCTCAAGTGATGAAGCAGTTGAAATGGCCAAGCAGCTTGCTCTAAAAGAAGGATTGTTGGTGAGCAAATTGCATCAATTCATCTTCAGATTATTCATCAAATAACATTCTAAATTAAATTTGAGAAACTAGTACTGATCTCACTTGAGCAACGATTGATTGGTACTTGAGAAAATTGTCTACTATTGTGCTCTCTGTCTCTCTCTCATGAGAAATTGCATTGCTATTAATCTCTCCCCTTGATTGGGATTGGGAAAATTGTTTGCCGCTGATACCTCTCTCTCATGCACACACATGCACCAGCACCTGCACACATGTACTGGTTTGGCACTTGTGAGTCTGCCTGTTTTTTCTTCCGGTTTTATATCAATATTTTGATGAGAGACTTGATGATGGATGGCAGGTGGGTATATCATCAGGGGCTGCTGCTGCTGCTGCAATCAAGCTTGGAAAGAGGCCAGAGTATGCTGGGAAGCTCATTGTCGTAAGGACACCTCCCTTCTCTTACACATTCATTTCAGACATAGGGTCAGATCAGAGAAAACCGTTATTTTCTACGATGTGAAAATTTTCAGTAATGTTGGAATCAATGTAGGCTTCTGTTCCTTTAGGCCCATTTGGATGGATCATTTATTGATAAATTTATTGAGAAATACGTCTGTTTGCTGTCCCAGTGTAGGGCGAATAGCTTGATCTACAAGAGTAAAGGCCTTTCTATGACCTATCAAGAAAATCCCCCAAAACACTCCCAACTTTATGATGAACAGAAAACCTGTTCTTCACATATTCCCAAATAACCGCATGCTTTAATGGAATTTGGCCCTTCAAAATGGGCTGTGAAGTTCAGAATTTGCACACTTATATAGTTTGGGGGCGCTTGTCTACACATGCATGTGTATGTGTGCAGGCATTTACCTGATTCAAGCCTCATACTAGTTAGATTAGTGTGTACCACGCATGCATGTACATGTGCATGCTGGGATGGTGCTTGAGTCCAAGAGTGGCAACTGGCTGGCCAAGGCTGGCTTGGGACCCTAGAGGCTTTGACTGGTCCAACGGGGGGGGGGGGGGTTGCCTTGTTATGTATGGGTGAGTCGAAATCACACATGTAGTTGTTTTTACTTTTTATCTCTTGTTTTGAGCCCTTGCATTGAAACTAATGCAAGGGTTGTGATGTTGTAGGAACTTTACTCAAAGGGATTAAAACCGTTTTGTTTAGAGTGAGAAAGTGTATCTGTGTTTGGGTTGTCTCTTGTGGGCTGCTATATACTCCATTTTAGAGAGAGAAAGTGAGTAAAAGGCTTGAGCTCCATTCGGGGTTTGTTGTGTGCCCTACTCTAGAGAGAGTGTGCAGGAAGAATCCATTGCATTGTTTTGTTGACTGTGTTGTGAAGCGGACTTTGTAGAGAGAGAAAGCCCCTTGTTTGAAGGTCTTTGGCCTTGATTTCAGATTATAATATTCCCAAATCAATAAGTAAAGCCTCGCACCATTCTCCTGTGGATGTTGGTCACGATTTGAGACTGAACCACGTTAAATCTTTATGTTATGTGATGTGCGTGTTGCTGTATTTTTATTCTATGCTGTTTTTTTGATTCCATATTGTTTCAATTGTTGGTTTATGTAATTTTGGATGCACAATTGCTGTTCATCATCATCATCATTATCATTTTAGCTTTGTCCCAATTAATTGGGGTCGGCTACATGAATCTTGGTTCTCCATTCTACTCTATTAAAGACCATATCCTTGGTGAGGCCATAAGTCTCCACATCTTTTCATATTACTTCCAACCATGTCCGTTTAGGCCTATCCCTTGCCCTTTTCGGTCCTTCCACTTGAACTAATTCGCACCTCCTAACAGGTACTATACTTGGTCAGTACCACACATGTCTAGCCCACCTAAGTCTATACTATCTTATTTTATCGCCTATTGGTGTCACGCCTAAATTCTCTCGAATAGATTTATTGCTAATTCTATCCCTTTTTGTCTTGCCACTCATCCATATCAACATCCTCATCTTTGCTATACTCATTTTATGGGTATATTGTTTTTTGTCCGCCAATATTCTGCCCCATAGAGCAAAGCTGGTCTCACCACTGCCCTATAGAATTTGCCCTTCAGCCTCATTTGTATTCGGCGATCACATAAAATTCCAGTTGCACATCTCCACTTTGCCCACCCAGCTCTAATTCTGTGTACGACATCTTCCTTGATCTCTCCACTTTCCTGGATTATCGACTCAAGATATCGAAGATGCAGTCTTTTTTGTACGTCATGGCCGTTGATCTTAACTACTTCCTCGTATCTACTTCTATTATTACTAAATTTGCACTCCATATACTCCGCCTTAGTCCGACAGTCCAACTAATTTGAAAACCTTTGGATTCTAGAGCATCTCCCTAAAGTTTTAACTTTTGTATTTACGCCATTACGGGTATCGTCAATCAGAACTATGTCATTTGCAAACAACATGCACCATGGTATCTCATTATGTAGGTGCCTAGTTAAGTCGTCCATAACTAAGACAAAGAGGTATAGGCTCAATGCTGACCTTTGATGTAGACCTATTATCACTGAAAACTCACTCGTCTCTTCACTAGTTGTTCGTGCACTAGTTATCGCTCCATCGTACATATCTCTCACCTAGTCGATGTAGTGTCTAGAGAAGTCTTTCTTTTCCAACACCCATCAAATCAAATCTCAAGGTACTTTATCATAAGCTTTCTCTAGATCAATAAAGACCATGTGGATGTCTTTTTCCTTCACCCTAAAGTTCTCAATCAGTTGCTTAAGTTGGAAAATAGTCTCAGTTGTTGACCTTCCTGGCATAAAACTTAATTGGTCTTCAGATACACTTGTTTCATGCCTTAGTCGTTTGTTTTTTAAAATACGTACCACAATACTTTTACTCCATTCATCTTAACACCTTGTTGAACAACTTTGTCAGCTAATCAATGCCAATTTCTCTCATGCACTTCCAAACTTTTATCGGGATACCATTTGGTATCTATGACCTCTACCGTCACTTGTACCAACAATATCTTCTACCACTATGTTCCCATTTTGTTCGTCATTTAATAATTTTTGAAAATAATGCATAGTAGCTGTTAATGTGGCATAAACCTGCTGTATTTTCACCACCATCGATCGCAATAGGCCCAGCCTGGACTTGCTTTTGGACTAGGTGGCCATGCCCAGCCCTCGTGTAGTGACCTCGCCCTCGTTTAGTGACCTGGGGGTCGGGCTTGGCTGCCTGGCCCTTTCCCACTCCTTGGCCCTTTCCCACTCTTATGCTTGACCCTTGCTCCTAGATATGTAGTTTTTCACTTGTCCTTGTTTTATTATTGAATGTCATACCTTGCACTTACATATAGGATTGCCATTGGTCTAGGCCGGGCCAGGGGCTTTCAAGGCTGGTTCAGGCCAAATTTTGGGCTTCGGGCCAAGTCATACATCGAACGACCTATACCCGGCTCCAATGCCCGAAACTTCCATCTCTCATCCAACCTGCTTGTCTACCGCTCATTCCCGAAAGCTCGAGTCCCAAGCTTGCCATCCTATGCTTCTCTCTCTTTCTCCTTCCAGTACACCCTCTGCTGCTCTTCTCTCTGTCTCTCGAACGTTCCAATACACCCTCGTTGCTCTTCTCTTTGTCTCTCGAACGTTCCAATACACCCTCGTTGCTCTTCTCTGTCTCTCGAATGTTCCAATACACCCTCTGCTGCTATTCTCTTTCTCTCAAACATTCCAATACATGCTCCCCTACTCTCTCTCTCTTCTCTCGAACGTTCCAGTACAACGTCCCCTACTCTCTCTCTCTATCTCTCTCACAGAATCAAATAAGAGCATTCACTCTCCCATATCTTCTCACAAACTCTACATTCTCATATTTTCGCTCTTTAGCCCAACTACACATCAAACGCCAAACGTTTGAACCACAAGAAAACAAATTGAAGAACTGAAGCAAGACTAAAAAGAAGCTTCACACTTTTTACACTTACCTTTCACTCTCCCATCAATCTAGAGAGAGAACTATACATTTAATTGTTTCAAGGCCCTAGGCCCTCAACTTAGCAATCAAAGTCTACGAGATTCATGTCAAACAATATTTCTCCAATCTAAAGCCAGTGATGTAGTAGTAATTTGCCCTTATAGGAAACAATCTCTTGTCTCTCCATCTCTTTTCCCTTGGATCCCTCTCTCTCTCCACCTTGATAGGAAACAAACTCCATCTTTCAGTCATGCATTTCTCTTCACTAGAATGGCTTAACCCTTTTTGGGTCATCTTCACTAGAATCCGAATAACTACGTCGACGAGAACTGCTCTTCTGAGACTACCATCAAACCATTACCAAGACAACTTCTCTCTCCAAAACCCATCTTCACTAGAATCCGAATAACTATGTCAACGAGAACTGCTCTTCTGAGACTACCATCAAACCATTACCAAGACAGCTTCTCTCTCCAAAAGCCAACCAAAACTCTCAACCCGTTCTCTTCTTCCACCCCATTGGTTCGAGTCAGAGAAACCAGGTGAACCATTTCAGTTCTTGGCTTCAATCTCATGATTCAAAGCGTTTTGACAATCCCCATCTCATGACTCCTTTCTCCCTATCTCACTCCTTCCACACTTATATATATTCTAGAGAGAAAAACAAATAGAGAGATGGTGGTTCTGAGGAGAGAGAGGTGGGTGGTTTGGAGAGGAAGAGAGAGAAGAGGTGGTTTGTAGGAAGGTGTTCTCGGCTTTGGGCTCTCTGCAACGATATGGAGAAGAAAGAGAAAATTGGGATTTTGAGAGAGATGAAAAAAAGGAACCTTTCAAGAGAGTGTGAGAGAGAGGAGGCAGTGGGTATTGTTTGGGGAGCGAGAAGAAATGCGGTGGGTGTGTGGCCACATGTCCTCACACCTCTTCTCAAAACTCCAGTACAGCCTTGACGCGTTTGTACAACTGAAACAAATAAATATAACGTATACATAACCCATAAACAAATTATGAAATATAGTAAATTAAAATTAAAAGAACAAAAATATAAACCTTAAAAATATCAATTTATTCTTCGCAAGAAAAGTAAAATTATATTCCATTATTTTATGCAAGCAATAGGTAGAACCGTTAAAAATTTACCATATACGCAAATTTTAATCCAATGAAGTTCAATTTAGGCTTTAAAACAGAAATGATATTTTAAATTTTATTAATAGGATAATAATGCATATATACATATCAAAGATATGCATAGGCATGTATGAGATGATATTTTATAAGGGGTGTAGTTTGCATAACGTTGCAACCTTAAACAATCAAAGTAAGGTGCACCTCCAAACTTTGTCATGAGATGCAATTTTGGTGTCGAAAATTCTTAGGATGGTGCGAGAAGCTATTTTTCTCTTTAGTTATAAAATTTTAAAATCCAAAAAATGGTTCAAATCAAGTAGATCTATAAACGCATGAAAATCTAGAAAATGAATGGTCTAGATTATGTGTTGCAAGATTTACTATTTTTAGGGTTTGAAATCTCTTTTTTTCTCTACATCTATACATCTTGATGTTAAGATGATCAATTCGATGCTTTTCAGACTTTTCCAAAGGATTTTAGTGGTGCACCTCAATTGTACATTTTAAGGTGTCAACCTTATATAAACTTTCTCCTTTTATAAGGCACTTGCTCTTTTTTAGTGTCATGTGATAATATTTAATTGTTTTGACTATTCAACTTGTATTAAATTCAATGTTATATTTATTAGTACATTTGTAATAAATGCAATGTTAGTTTTAGAAACGATGGTTTATGTAAGGTTACAACCTTAATCAATCAAAATAAGGCTCTCTCCCTAACTTTGTCGGATACGTGATTTTAGTGCTGAAAATTATTTGGATGGCCTAAAAAGTATTTTCCCTCTAATTGTAAAATGTTGAATTCTAAAAATAGTTCAGATCAAGTGAGTCTGTAAACACTTGAAAACCTTGAAAATGGATGCTTCAGATAATGTGTTACAAATATGCACTATTTTTGGGACTTGAAATCTTTTTTTCACTATAGTCTATACCAACACATCTTGAGGTTGAGGGGGTCAAGATGATCAAATTGGGGGTTATCCAACATTAAAATACCCTTTTCTAATTAATTTTTGAAGTGCACCTTACTCCTATAGTATACGATTGACACCTTGTATAAATTTTTTCCAATAAGTATAATAAACTTCCTATCATGGACATAATCGAAGCTGATGGTGTGGTGGTAGATCTTTTTAACATCTTGCAACACTTTGGGAGTTAAAAATACACAAATAAAAGCCCTTTTCTTTAAATAAATAAAAACTGTACGCCGTATTTGAGAAGATGATGCAAAGTGTTGGTACAATAAATTCACGCACATGTATGGGAAGTGTCAATAGTGTGTCTGGATGGTCAACACGTGTCTAAGTGTCAATACATATCGACACGCGATACCAAGGGATTGAATTGTCTAATTGACACTATTTCTGTAAGTGCGCATGTATGCATGTTCTCTGTTTGTGTATCTGACATGTTTTCATATGAATACATTTATGTGCATATGCATGCACACATGTGTATATATATATATATATATAAATGTATATGCATATGCATGCACACATGTATATATATTTGTATATATGTATAAATGTATATGCATATGCATGCACACATGTATGGCACAATATCTGACCTCACTTTTCTCCCACATTTTGTAGGTTTTGTTCCCCAGTTTTGGGGAGAGGTACTTGTCAACGGTGTTGTTCGATTCCATCAAAAAAGAGTGCGAAGGCATGACTTTCGAGTTGTGAATGCTGAGAAATCTCTTGCTGCCTGCATTTTTCTATTTTCTGTTTTTGGAATAATATGAGCACCCTCTCTAATGAAATCACCAAGGACTGATATATATACATGTAGACAGGCTGAAATGAGCAGGCAAAAGAGAGGTTATAAAGTAGTTTTTTCTTGTGTTTTTTGGTTTGGTACTCAATGCTTGTTTCAATGAAGTTGTTGGAATTAGAAAATGCTCTTGATTTGGTAGTGATGATTGTTCGGTGGGACAAGGAAAATATTCTTTGAATATCCTCTTGTGTGTGTGGCTTTATGTTGGATGATTAATGCTGAAGAACCTGTGTGTGTGGTCATATGTAGTGATTTGGTTTCTCTCTCTCTCTCT